CCCAAAAATCCTCAAAAAGGGTAAACAACCAATGTGGGACTATTGTAAAATTGAAAATTGTTTGAGTGACAATGTGGGAAAGGTAATTAATTTTTTTATTTTTTTTGTATTTGACTCTAAATGTATGAATTTTAAAATCATCGGACCAAAATTTGCTATTAAATAAATAAAGCTGCAAAATCAAGAATTTTTAAAATGTTAGGCCAAAATTGGGTGTCAACAGCTGTCCCTTTCGTTGTGTATGATTGATGAAAGAAATCGTGGACAACGAAAATTGACAAACCCAATTTTGATCGAACACATGACCTTTGTAGAGAAGTGCGGTTGCATTTGGTGGGAGTCAATCCAAGACCTGTCTCCAAAAGGTTCCATGATGTGCTGCGTCCTTGTTGAAGTAGTTTGCACCTGTTTTTCTTTGTGTTTTTTTTTTTATTTTTTTTATTTAATTTTTTTCTCTTTTTTTTGTTTTTTTTGTTTGAAGGAATTTATCCTTTCAAATGCTCTTCACAAAGATTGAGATAAAACTCGTCAGCTTAAAATGCAATTTAAGTGGAAGACAGTGTCTTCCACCGTGTCGACACTCAATTTCTCTCCTCGACATTAATGTCAGTTGACGTTGAGGGATACTTATTTCCTTTGAGATGCACGATTCTTTTTCTGACAGTGCATGATTGCTTGCAGGGCATGAATATCTTCCCGCGATGCGCCAATTTTGCGAGGGATGGAATCTTCTCGCGATGCATAAAATTTTGCGAGGGATTGGATCTTCTCGCAATGCATAAAATTTTGCGAGGGATGAAATCTTCTAGCGATGCATTAATCCCGCAAGGTATGAAATCTTCTTGCGATATGTAAACTTTTGCGAGGAATTGAATCTTCTCGCGATGCATAAAAAATTTAACTTGTGATGCATGAATATTAACTCGCAATGCATGAATATTAACTAGTTATGCATGAATTAACTCGCGATGCATGAATCGACTCTCGATGCATGAATTGACTCTCGATGCATAAATATTAACTAGTGATGCATGAATTGACTCTCGATGCATGAATATTAACTCTCGATGCATGAATTAACTAGTGATGCATAAATATTCTGCGAGGTATGGAATCTTCTCGCGATGCATGAAATTTTCTGTGAGGTACGAAATTTTCCCGCGATGTAAGAATATTGACTCGCAATGCATGAATATTAACTCGCAATGCATGAATTAACTCTCAATGCATGAATTTACTATCGATGCATGAATATGAACTTGCAATGCATGAATTTTCTGCGAGGTATGAAATCTTCTCGCGATGCATGAATTTTCTGCGAGGTATGGAATCTTCTCGCGATGCATGATTATCTGCGAGGTATAAAATCTTCTCGCGATGCAGGAATATTGACTCCCAATGCATGAATATTAACTCGCAATGCATGAATTAACTATCGATGCATGAATTGACTCTCGATGCATGAATATGAACTCGCAATGCATGAATTTTCTGCGAGGCATGAAATCTTCTCGCGATGCATGAATTTTCTGCGAGGTATGGAATCTTCTCGCGATGCATAAATTATCTGCGAGGTATGAAATCTTCTCTCGATGCAGAAATATTGACTCGCAATACATGAATATTAACTCTCAATGCATGAATTAACTCTCGATGCATGAATTGACTCTCGATGCATGAATATGAACTTGCAATGCATGAATTTTTTGCGAGGCATGAAATCTTCTCGTGATGCATGAATTTTCTGCGAGGTATGGAATCTTCTCGCGATGCAGAAATATTGACTCGCAATGCATGAATATTAACTCTTAATGCAAGAATTGACTCTCGATGCATGAATATGAACTCGCAATGCATGAATTTTTTGCGAGGCATGAAATCTTCTCGCGATGCATGAATTTTCTGCGAGGTATGGAATCTTCTCGCAATGCATGAATTATCTGCGAGGTATGAAATCTTCTCACGATGCAGAAATATTGACTCGCAATGCATGAATTATCTGCGAGGTATGAAATCTTCTCGCGATGCATGAATTTTCTGCGAGGTATGGAATCTTCTCGCGATGCAGAAAGATTGACTCGCAATGCATGAATATGAACTCGCAATGCATGAATTAACTCTCGATGCATGAATTGACTCTCGATGCATGAATATTGATTCGCAATGCATGAATTAACTCTCGATGCATGAATATTGACTCTCGATGCATGAACATTGACTAGTGGTGTATGAATTGACTCTCGATGCATGAATATTAACTCGCAATGCATGAATTAACTCTTGATGCATGAATGTTGACTCGCAATGAGTGAATATTAACTCGCAATGCATGAATTTTAACAAGGCCTAGATGACTCGATTATGTTCCAACTGTAACGAGGTGGATGGCTCGATAATGTTTCACTGTAACGAGGTGGATGTCTCGATAATGTTCCAACTGTAACGAGGTGGACGGCTCGATAATGTTCCAACTGTAACGAGGTGGACGGCTCAAAAATGTTTCAACTGTAACGAGGTGGACGGCTCGATAATGTTTCAACTGTAACGAGATGGACGGCTCGATAATGTTCCACTGTAATGAGGTGGATGTCTCGATAATGTTCCAACTGTAACGAGGTGGATGGCTCGATAATATTCCACTGTAACGAGGTGGATGTCTCGATAATGTTCCAACTGTAACGAGGTGGACGGCTCGATAATGTTCCACTGTAACGAGGTGGATGGCTCGATAATGTTCCAACTGTAACGAGGTGGACGGCTCGATAATGTTCCAACTTCAAATGATTTTTTGAGATCCTCTCAAAAATTCTATCCCAGTTTCCATTATGAAGAGAAATGGAAATCTTACTGGTTATATGACCGAGCCGTTGTGGCGCCTACGTATCCCATTGGAGCAGGAATCAGGTCAAACGTAGTTCCCCTCTTGTGGATGATGAGTGCTGCAAAGAATCAGAAAGATTATCAGTAGAAAATGCACAATATGAACATGATGGAATATGCAAATGGTATTCCTTGCTATATTCAAAGCCTAAAACAAGACATATCACATTTTAGGTATGGACAACCCAATGAAGTAAAATAGGCGTCTCACACATATAAGATTAACTTAATGACACCTTTTATAATGAACAACTCAAAAGACAAATTTTTTTTTCAAAAATAAAAGAAATGTGAGGAGATAGTCAAATCTTCACCACGATTGGTACCAACAGTTAGTATTGCAGGTAAATCTCCCATTCTTTCTTTCCCTTTTTTTTTTAAGATTGAATTAAGGTAATTCCTACGGCTTCAAGTGGTACCTCAAATATACTTAAGGATTGACAAGATCCGTTCATCTTGTTTCAAACAAAGATTTTGAATTGTATCAATCCTCATGTTTCAAGTGCCCTCACGACAAAGGTTTGTCCTATTTCACACATATTTGAAACATTTTGTTATAGGACATTTTTCAGAGTGCACTCACACTCACAAGGATGTTCAATGCACACAACTGTGATACCATATGCTTGACCCTTATGTAAATCTCCACTAATGTGAGAACATTTGGAATGAGATCATGTAGGGCTTGTCATTGGCTTGTAACGTAGATTTAGGGATGGGTAGGATATTTATTTGAGATAAAAGTGACTGAATTCCTCCTTGAGTGTTACACAGAATTTGTGCTCTTAATGATTGGTACGCCTTTGGCGTTA